ACTCATTCCAATAAGCTCCGTGAAGTTGGCTATTGCAATTAATTACTCATACAATTGGATGTTAAACTATACCTTTTGATAGTTGTATATATATGCATGCATGCATGCATGTATTTATCTATGGATTTGAAAACTTACTCACAGTTGATTGTTCATTCCAGTGATTGTTTAGTTGGTTGTCATAGTTCACATGACCTTTTTATTTATTTTATGGTTCGTGTGAATATTGTACATACATGGTTTTGATGGTCCATGGATCAGCTGATGAAGTTATCCCCGTCAAAGATGCATTGGAGTTCGCCAAATCATACCTAACCACAAATTACACATGGTTGAAGGAGCAGATCATGGATATACTACACATCGAACTGAATTAGCTTCTGTTGTTATCCCGTTCATCAAGGAAGGTCTGCAGCAAGGCAAGGATATTTCTCAGTACTCTCGTGTCCAGTGACCAACAGACCTACATATTTAGTAGGATTTCAAGAGATTTTAGATCTATATAGAAGTTCAATTTCTTTACCTTTCTCATGATACTAACTCAATTATATATATACAGGTTCTTAGTGGAAACGACCACTGATTTTGTGAGAGATGTTTGAGCCAAACTGCATCTGGAGCTCTTATTAAGCAGGAAACCCTTTCTTCCTCATCCCCATTGTTGGCTCCTGATAAACAGAATTAGGGTTTAAGCATCAATTGCTACTTGATACACGGCTGATTCGACCAATACCATGTTCTCTCTGTCGCATAATGAATTTTGTGGGAGTAATTGGTTGTCTGTTATTCACCCCAACCCTTGTTTCCTTGCAACATTTGTTGTGGTTAAGCTTGATTAACAGAATTGTTATTAACTTTGTATTTACATTTTCTTTTTCTACCCTCCATAGAATCTTCAACCAATAAATCCAGGGGTTAACCTCCAGAATGACAGGTCTTTGAATCTTTAATCTGATTCCCATAAAAGTGGCTTAGGTGCAGAAATGTTGCGGCTGAATTTGGCGAAATCTTAAACCTTGCTTTTTACTTTAGCCCTAATATCCAGTTTATTCACAAGAAGATTTAGTTAATGTAACACAAGTCTCCTGCTTCCAATGAAGATATAAGAGAGGACCTCAAAAGCCAGTGTTAGAAATAGGCTTGCTTTCTACCCCTGAAAGTTAAAACTATTCAACAGTAGAACCCTAAAATGATTGCCCCACTTGACATTTTGGCCAAACAATACTAATAATATATGTGAATGGCATTATCAAATCATCATGGAGGAACATTATAGTTTTGATTGGCAATAATAATGGGAGAAAGCCACTGCATATGATATGCCACCATACAAAAAGCAACATCATTCCTCTATTCACACATATTAAGTTAAAAATGGCATGCTTAAAAGAGTTCTAATATTGTCCCCGCGGGTTTTTTACCAGGAGTAATAGAACTGTCGGACTTTGCAACTATTTTCGACAATTTTGGAAAAACTGCTGGTCTATTTTGACGAATTTTGACAAGTTTTTGAGCTCGTCACGAGCCGAGTCCGAGTAGACACCATAAACAAACGAGCCGAGCCTGAGCAGACCCAAACTAGGCTCAGTTCATTTACAGTCCTACTTACCGGGTTGAACTGTGGATGTTATTCAGTCTAGTCCAAATTAAACCCTCATTCCTGTGTTACTCTGAAGTCTGAAATCATAATGCCCTTCATTATGTTTTACCAATGGGTCAAAATTTTACCTTTAAAAAAAAAAAAAAAAAAAAAAAAAATCCAAAATTTTCAATTCGAACCAGAAATTTTTATAAAATTCTAGAATGCGTTGCAAAATTCTTAAGACACCCCTGGCGTTGGCCCATACAAAATTGAAATATCGCGTGGAGTGTATATATATATTTTTTTCGCGTGGAGTGTATTGATATTTAAATTTATTAGGAGGTACATATTTGTAATTTACACTAACGCTACGTATGGAATACTAGATTTGATGGGATTTGATCATTTGGATTTGGAAACAGAATTTACCTTGTTTGGTATCATCGGATTAAAAATGGGATTTAAAAATAATGGGATTTCAAATGCCGTTTTAAACACGTTCTAAATCTGGTCTAAAAAGCATGGATTTGACTGAACTTGAAAGATAAATACTTTTTAAATTAATATTTTCGTAATTAACCTTATTTACAATCTCCCTATTAACTCTAACATATTAGCTATATATATTTTTATCTCTGAGTCTTGAGAATATATACAAGTTAGTAATCAAATATCATCATTTTTTATTTGGTATTTTCCAAGCAAATTGATCCACCATCAGTTTTGTATTTTTCTACAAAGTATATTACAAAATTTTATAAACAAAAATATCAACGAGCCAGTGATTTAGTGGTATCAGCCTTTTACCTCCTAAAGGGAGGTTAGAAGTTCAAATCTTAGAAGAGACAAGTGTGTGTGAGTACCAACTAAGAAAAAAAAAATTTATAAACAAAAGTCATACAATCTAATCATTCACAATTCACACCGTGCAATAAAATTTATATTTACATAATATAGATTGAATGAATAATGATTACACTTTTATATAAAAAAAATATAAAAATTTATCACGGACATGGGCCTTGACCATCTCTTATTGCACACCAACAAAGAGTCCCTTATGCAAGACTATCAATCTACATACCAGTGAAAATCCCTTGGATTAAACCATGTTTGGCAAAAAAATTTAGGAAAGAAATTAAATTAAGATTATTGGGTATTTCTAAATTTGGGTTCTTATTTCTTGATTAGGTAAAGTGTAGCATTATCTTACTAGTAAAAGAATTATGTAATTTCGTTCACAACTCCTAAAAAATAATAATAATAATAAAGGTAACGCTAGCTAACTAGTGTAGCTAAACAGAGCTCACTTAAAAATAAAAACAATAATTGTGTAAGGTTGTGGCAAATTTAGGCCCCAAATCTGGCCTTAATTGGAGAAAATATTAATAACAATGGTTGAAATTTTCATTTAGACAAATGTGTTAATTAGGCGTTACTTATTAAAAAAAAAAAAAAAAAAAAAAAATCAAAGAAAGAAAAAATTTTACCATAAAAACGTAAAAATAGAATTCATTATTTCGTTTCACCCCTTCTTTCTAAATGCCAAGTCCACATTCAAAAATATTTATTTTTTTAATAAGAAATTCACATATTTATTTGTTTTTGTGGAGATTTAAAACTCTCATTTTTCACTTGAAGGATTGAGAAAATATTACTAAGTTACAACCCTTAGTGGTCTAAATGCTTACAAAAACTTTTATTTTTAGGGCAATACTTGAGTCCTCCCTTAGGAGGATGAAGTTCATCCTTCAACCACATGTGACCCAATACGATTTAGGCATATGTCCAAGTTTTTAAATTTTCTAATAATAATCAGTATCCAATTTCTTACTGGTTAAACTGAAATCCATTTTTTTTTTCTTTCCCAATTTAAAATTTATTAGAATCCTTTTTTTAGGGTCTCTCTTCTCTCACTCCCTGCAAATCTTCATATCCAACCTCCATCTAAATACAAAGTTTCAAACCAATCGAAACTCATGAGTGACACAAAACTGTACCAATTAGAATTTGTTCTTTTCATATTTGCCACCCATGAGAGATTGACAAAAAAATAAATATTTTAATATCCTATTTGTTCTAGTAATACATTAGTCTATATGAATATGAAATTTTCTCACATATATGAATTTGTGTATTTTATTAAGTATATTCGCTAAATAAATTTAATAATTTTTCAATTTCATATGGAGATTGGGTATAGTAACAATGGTGATTGTTTTGGAAAGAATATCTATATCTATATTTATATAAAATTATATTTTGGTGACCAAAATTAACATAATTGCTATATAGTGACTTTAAAATCAAGGAAAGGTGGATAGTGACCAATCTTGAAACTTAATTGATATTAAGTGACTATCTAAGGATAATTTGGTCAAAAACACTTAAAAGTTTAATAAACATTTTAAAAATAAATTTTAAATGACAAAATTGCCATCCAATATAAATAATAAGTCATCGAAGTCATCTTCCTCCTACTCTCTCTTTCTCTAATCCAACATTTTCTTTTTTTCCTTTTTAATTTATAATTTACCAATTTAAAAAATCAAGATTTCTTTATCAACATTATCTTTTTTTCACCCTTTATCTATTTTTCAAGGCTCTCAACCATCTAATATTTTCCTTTTTAGTTTACAATTTACCAATTTAAAAAATTAAAATTTCTTTATCAACATTATCTCTTTTCCATCATTTATTTATTTTTCAAGGCTTTCCAGCATGAACACTCATAACATTTACAGTGGCAAATCATATTTTTGAAACACCCTTTAACAGTTAGAAAAATTATGAAATTAATCAACAATAGTCATTATTTCTTGAACTATAACTAAGTAGTATTAAAAATTCCTAAAAATTACAATCTTATATCTTAAGGAAGATCTCTTAGACAAAAAATTACAATCTTATATCTTAAGGAAGATCTCTTAGACAAATCAACTCGCAAAGTATAATAACTATACCTTGAAAATAATGAATAAGAAGAAAATTTACAATTTTCTCGTCATGTCTCTTAGAATCTTGAAGAAAACGATGTATAATATCCATCATCAGTTCTCTCCCATCTTGATCTTCTCTTCAGAGACTCACCCTAATAATCTGTCATCTTTTTATTAGTCAATTTAAGTAAGTGTTTATTTAGGTTAATGTAGAGGGTAAATTTGTCAACTTACATAATAATATATTACAAGAAGGCTATTTAGGTAATAAACCATCAAATGGTCACTTAATATCAATTAAGTTTCAAAATTGATCACTATTCACATTTTCTTGATTTTAAGGTCACTATATAGCAATTATGTTTAATTTTGGTCACCAAAATATAATTTTCCTAGAAATCTATATCAATTGTTATCAACCAGGGCCGGCCCGACCTCCTTGGGCCTCAAATTTTAGAGGGCCTCAAAATTTTGAGGGCCATAGAGGATTTGAAAAAAAAATAATTTAAAGTTAGGACAAGTCTTGGTCGCCTTGGGCCTCAAAATAGGGGATGGAAAAAAATAAAAAACGGAGTATTAAGTTAGGGCAAGTTTCAGACGACACAATCTGCTTCGACACTCCGCAGGACGCAGCCTCCGCTATCGCCTCAGGTGACAAGGTATTTTCATCCTCTCTCTCTCCTTTTGCATGAATCGATCTTTTATATATGTTTCTTTCTTTCTTTCATCTCATCATTTGATTTGTTCTAACTTTGGTTCGTTTGATTCGGGCCTTTACCTTTGTTCCAATAGTGAAAACTAGCTTCCAAACTAGGGTTTTTTGTGTGTGTGTCACCGTGTGTGATGGCTATCAAAAGATGAATGAATATATTATGATTCTCTTAGTATTTTAATAAATGTGTGCCTTTCTACATGTGTCTTTCATGGCGATCGAGTCCATAATCTATGGCAGGCACTTTTTTTTTTTTTTTTTTTTTCCCTCTCCCTAATTCCACTCCAATCTCACAACAGCAGCAATCATACCCCTTTTCCTCATAAGTTTTTGCATTTTCACATTCAATCCTACGAAAATTAAGGATCCCTTCTGGGTTGAGCCGTTGAGGTAATAATTAACTTTTTCGATCTCTAAATTATGCTCATACTTAAAAGTGCCAAATTAAGGGTTTTTTTTTTATATTTTATTTTTATATGAAGATACATACCACCATTATTGATGTTATTTGAAGTTGGCTCAGCTAGAATTTCAGTTAATAATACTGTCAAAGCACTTGCCATCAGAATGTACAAACACATGGAAACAAAACAAAAGTTAATGGTTTTTTCTATTAATTTGCACAGGTCTTCTGTAGCAATGATCAATCAATCGCTGCTACTAAAGTTGATTCCTCATCCTGAAATCAAGAAAGGGGTAATTGGCTCCCAAAAAAAACACACACAAAGTGTAGTTAATATAAAGAGTGAAAGGCAAAATTATATATGATAGTGGATGCCACATATAACCTAAAAGTCCTAACTACTTCTTCAGCACTACAAGTTCAGCCTCCTAGATATATAGTCACCTCATCTCCGCATATTTTTGTCATCTGTAGTCATCAAATTTTAGCAGCTATATAAACAATGAATGTAAAAAAGAAGCTGCAGTTTTCTGTTCCCCATTTCCACTTTTGGACTGTATTTTGGATACTCTGTTTTGTCTTCTCTCCTCTCCTCCAAAATCCAGTGAAAACTCCAGCCAGGAGATCATTCGACCAAACTGCTTGATTTTAGATATATATTTTTTTAATTATATTTATTGTATGATCGGCAATGCTTAGTTATTATTGTTTCTGTTTGATTCTCCATCCGTTTTATGTTAATTGTGATCTTCTTTCACATGCTAGCAGGACACTCTTATTAGGATCTCGTGAGGTTATTTGCCTTGAACTTGAATCAAATCATTGCATATTGAGGTCATATATATTTTCTTCAAACAAAGCAAATTATTATTATTATTTTTTTTTAAGTCTAGTTTTATGTTGATTATGGTTCCTGTTATTTAGATTTCAAGAGATTTCAGTATGTCTACAAGAAAATTTGAATCTGGGCATGAAAAAAGGGAAAAAAAAGAAGAGAGAAGAAGAATTAATTCAATCTCAAAAAGGAGATAATCTTAAGTTTTTTAGGAGCAATACACAAATAGAGAGTTTAGTTGAAGATTTGGTGAATGAAGAACATATGAATGCGAAAGTAAATGAAGAAAATCTCAATAAACATGAAGATTTAATGAATGAAGATCATAGGAAGTTAGCAATGAACATGAAGATTATAGTTATTAGTTAGTTGTCTTATGCATAATATAGATGCGCACAATTAAATTAGCTATAGAATTTGAAAACATCGTGTGAAAATTCCGCACTCTTATAATTTTTTTTGTGTGTGTGAAACTTAAGGGCCTCACATTTGAAAGTTTGCCTTGGGCCTCTCAAAATTTTTGGAATCTGAGGGCCGGCCCAGTTATCAACATGAAACTGATTATCAAATTTTGTAAGTCTTTGTATATCCACCTGACCTTCAATGTCTTATTAATTGTGTTTCAATATTCAGACTATTCAGTACTAATGCTAATAATTTTATTTTCGTATATCAATTCTCGGTTTGACTTGTGGTGTTGCCTTTCCTCTTGTGGTGTTATTTTATAGATCACTTGAAAGGCCACGGACTACCGACACAGCTCGACTGAAGGTCGCCACATCTGCTGTTTTCTTAGTTGCGTGTGCAACCATGGCTTCCGTGACCCAAGACAATGGTTTGAAGAAACTAGAGTACCTCTCACTGGTGTCGAAGGTTTGCACCGAGTTAGAATCTCATCTAGGGTTTGGGGACAAGGTATTGGCCGAATTTATCACCGACATGGGCCGAACCTGCGAGAAAGTCGATGAATTCGACGCCAAATTGAAGGAAAATGGTGCTGAAATGCCCGATTACTTTGTTCGAACGCTGTTAACAATAATTCATGCAATTTTGCCTCCCAAACCGAAGTCAAAGTCCAATAAGGAGTCGAATAAGGATGATGGTTCTGAAGGCAAGAAATCTGACTTTCCGGGTTTGGGAATTTCGGATGGTAGAGAGAGAGTGAAGGATCTGGAAAGAGAGATTGAGTTGGAAACAAAGGATCGAAGGCGAAGAGAAGATGGAGAAGAGGGTAAAAAACGTAGGGACGGGGACTGGGATAGAGACATAGACAGAGAAAGGAGAGATAGGCATAGGGAGAGAGACAAGGATGAGAGGGGTGATAGAGGCCAAAGGCGTAGAGATTGGGAGGGAAGGAATAGAGATAGGGATGAAGACGATAGAGGTGATTATAAGAGCAGGGGAAGGTATAGAGATAGAGAAGACAAGCATAGGAGGGATGGTTATGAAGAAGATGGGGATAACAGGGAGGATGATGGTAGGAGGGACCGGCAGAATGGTAGGAATCATTCAACTGAACCTGAATTGTATCAGGTGTATAAGGGCAGGGTGTCAAGAGTTATGGACACGGGCTGCTTTGTTCAGCTTAGTGATTTTAGGGGTAAAGAGGGTTTAGTCCACGTTTCGCAGATTGCAACTAGGAGGGTTGTTAATGCAAAGGACATTGTGAAACGGGATCAAGAGGTTTTTGTTAAAGTGATTTCAGTGTCGGGCCAGAAGTTGAGTCTTTCAATGAGGGATGTTGATCAGAACAGTGGTAAAGATTTACTTCCGTTGAAGAAGAGCTCGGGGGAGGACACCTTTCGGATTAACCCTTCAGGATCGAATACTGAGGGGCCAACAACTAGGACAGGTCTTTCAGGGATCAGGATCACTGAAGATGACAGTACTGTTCCGTCACGTCGGCCATTGAAGAGAATGAGTTCGCCTGAGATATGGGAAGCTAAACAGCTGATTGCTTCAGGTGTCTTGGATCCTAGGGATTATCCCATGTATGATGATGAAGGAGACGGAATGCTCTATCAAGAAGAGGGTGCTGAGGAGGAGCTTGAGATTGAGTTAAATGAAGACGAACCAGCCTTCTTGCAAGGACAAAGTCGATACTCTATAGACATGTCACCTGTTAAGATCTTCAAGAATCCGGAAGGGTCCTTGAGCCGCGCAGCAGCCCTGCAGTCTGCTCTCATAAAGGAACGAAGAGAAGTACGCGAACAACAGCAGAGAACAATGCTTGATTCTATCCCTAAAGATCTCAATCGACCATGGGAAGACCCAATGCCTGAGACAGGTGAAAGGCATCTTGCACAGGAGCTCAGGGGTGTAGGCTTATCTGCCTATGACATGCCTGAATGGAAAAAGGATGCTTTTGGAAAAGCCCTAACATATGGGCAGAGATCAAAGCTTTCCATCCAAGAACAGAGGCAGAGCTTACCAATTTATAAACTAAAGAAAGAATTGATTCAGGCTGTGCATGATAATCAGGTTCTGGTAGTAATTGGTGAGACAGGATCTGGGAAGACAACTCAGGTGACGCAATATCTAGCTGAAGCAGGGTACACTACCAGGGGCAAAATTGGATGTACTCAGCCCCGTAGGGTGGCTGCAATGTCTGTGGCCAAGAGGGTTGCTGAGGAGTTCGGCTGTCGTTTAGGGGAGGAAGTTGGGTATGCCATTCGTTTTGAGGATTGTACTAGTCCAGAGACTGTTATCAAGTATATGACTGATGGTATGCTTTTAAGGGAGATTTTGATTGATGAGAATTTATCTCAGTACTCTGTGATAATGCTTGATGAAGCTCATGAGAGGACTATCCACACTGATGTTCTTTTTGGATTACTAAAGCTGCTTGTGGAGCGGAGACCCGACCTTCGATTGATTGTCACATCTGCCACTTTGGATGCAGAGAAATTCTCAGGGTATTTCTTCAACTGCAATATCTTCACTATTCCTGGAAGAACGTTTCCTGTAGAAATACTCTACACCAAGCAGCCGGAAAGTGACTACCTAGATGCTGCTCTGATTACTGTTCTACAGATCCACTTGACAGAACCTGAGGGTGATATCCTCCTTTTCTTGACTGGTCAGGAAGAGATTGACCACGCCTGCCAGTGTCTTTATGAGAGGATGAAAGGGATAGGTAAAAATGTTCCTGAACTAATTATTTTACCAGTCTACAGCGCTCTTCCTAGTGAAATGCAATCCAGGATTTTTGATCCTGCCCCTCCTGGAAAGAGGAAAGTGGTGGTTGCAACCAATATTGCCGAAGCTTCTTTGACCATTGATGGGATTTTTTATGTCATTGATCCGGGCTTTGCAAAGCAAAATGTGTATAATCCCAAACAAGGGCTTGATTCACTGGTCATAACTCCTATTTCACAAGCATCTGCCAAGCAACGTGCCGGGCGTGCTGGGCGTACAGGGCCAGGAAAATGCTACCGTCTTTACACAGAGAGTGCCTTTCACAATGAGATGTCCCCTACCTCAATTCCTGAAATCCAAAGGATAAATTTAGGATCTACGACTCTTAATATGAAAGCTATGGGAATAAATGATCTTCTGTCTTTTGATTTTATGGATCCACCTTCTCCTCAAGCTCTTATATCTGCCATGGAACAGCTATACAGTCTGGGAGCTCTAGATGAGGAGGGACTTTTGACTAAACTAGGTAGGAAAATGGCAGAATTTCCACTGGATCCACCATTATCAAAGATGCTTCTTGCTAGTGTAGACCTTGGATGCAGTGATGAGATCTTGACCATAATTGCAATGATTCAAACTGGAAATATCTTCTACAGGCCAAGGGAAAAACAAGCTCAAGCAGATCAAAAGAGGGCCAAGTTTTTTCAGCCCGAAGGAGACCATTTGACTTTACTTGCTGTTTATGAGGCTTGGAAAGCAAAGAATTTTTCTGGGCCTTGGTGTTTTGAAAACTTCGTTCAGTCTCGTTCATTGAGGAGGGCACAGGACGTCCGAAAACAGCTTCTTACCGTCATGGACAAGTACGTACTTCTGGATTATTTCTTTTATTTTGGTTTCTTTGTTGTGGGCTTTTTGCCACTTTTTGTTGTTTTTACATTTGTTGTATAATATCATAGCTGCAAGAGATCTGTGTTATTGCCGTGTAGCCTTCTTTCTTGTTTCAATGCTTTCATGGGCAAGCTGTGTCATTTCATTTTGGGTATGAATTGGTTTGAACAAGCTGTGTTTTCAAGACCTATTGCTAGCCTTTTTCACTGCCTCACCATCAATTTTGCAAGGTTTTACTTGGCAAAATATTAGTGGTGAATTTTCTTGAGGACCTGCTTTTCTAGAAGTCTAGTCTTGTAATGCTTTCCTTCTGAATGTCTTTCATTTTAATTAGACAGGCCTTTGTTAGATGCCAAATTGCCAGCTAATGTTCTTTAACTTTGATTTTTCTTTCAATCTAGCTACATTAGGCACCTTAAAGTTTTTCACAGATGTGTTATGTGACTATCCTGTTCAGTTCTTATAGATGTGAACAGTGAATCTGTGTAGTAGATATCCGTTCTTTGGATATTTTGTTAGATTACCGGCAAAAAGATAAAATATTTCTAGATATTTAATCAACAGTTGAGGCTTTTAAGCAAATGAGCCATCTATTGCTTTTGTCCATAATTATGATAGGAAGAATCTGGAAAAAATTGATACTTAAAAATTGATACTTAAATGCCTTGTATATTTGGTTCTAAGCTACTCATTTTGTAACGACTCAGGTACAAATTGGATGTTGTGAGCGCTGGGAAGAATTTCACAAAAATAAGGAAAGCGATAACAGCAGGATTCTTTTTCCATGGGGCGAGAAAGGATCCACAGGAGGGTTACCGAACCTTAGTTGAGAACCAGCCAGTTTATATTCACCCAAGCAGTGCTCTTTTTCAGAGACAACCAGATTGGGTGATCTACCATGAGTTGGTAATGACCACGAAGGAGTACATGCGTGAGGTCACAGTTATTGACCCTAAGTGGCTTGTGGAACTGGCACCAAGATTTTTCAAAGTGGCAGATCCTACAAAAATGAGCAAGCGCAAGCGTCAAGAACGTATTGAACCACTTTATGACAGATATCATGAACCTAACTCTTGGCGTTTGAGTAAAAGACGTGCTTGATTTGTGCTTCATCTGACACTCTTTCAGGTAATCCATCGATCTCTCTATCTCTAACATTACGTGGGTTTTCTTGGTTGGATGGATCGATTTGTGGAATTTTGGTGGATTGGGCTGGTTGGATGGATTTGGGTGTGGATTTGATTGTCTCATGGGTTTTTCAATTTCATGGATTTATTTGATTTTCTTTGTTTTTGTTTTTCAAATTTGGTTTTGGGTCCTCATTTGATATCTACTAATTTCATTTTGGTTTATTTGCTTTGTCTTCATGGTCACATAAGATGATCATGATTTTGTTTTTTTGTTTGATCTCTTTGTTTGGTTTGTTTGCTTGGGTGGTAGCATCGTTTTAAAATTGGAAAGTGAAGCACTTGAATTGATATACATTTCTATATACACTCAGACAGAGATGTATATATACATTAATAAAACCAATTTTATACTCTGTTCTTTATACATGCGTCCTTAATGGAGAAGTAAAATCTATTGTTAATTCGTTCTACCTGTGCGATCAACTTGAGTATAAGTAACACAACTTGATTAGTTATACCAGAAAAGATTATTATAGCAATGACTTGATTAGGCCTAACTCTTGCTAGAGCGAGGATGACATGGGAAATTTTCGAATACAAGCTAGGATACAAGGAAAATTTCCAAATATAAGCTAGGATGACATGTATGAAGTAGCAAAATTCTCCTTGACAATTAACAGGCTTAGACGAATATAGTTCATTTAGAATTTGAGTTAGTTTATATGAGAAGAATTATTAGATGATAGCTCCAGGCGACTGTCAATGATTGATTGTGCAAGAAAATGGTGTTATATATATATATATATAGACGGCCTTTTAAAAATCAGACCATGGACTTTTCCATGGTAATTTTGTTCTTGACAATGGTGCTATATCAGGTTTTTGTGTAGATTTTGGTTTTGCGCTCATTCGTTGTCTCAAAATATATATCTTAGTTAATGATTGTATTGATTACTTTGTACGTGCGGACTTAGTTGAGAGGAATGTGACTTGTTTATAAAGTATCAACCAGGAGTGTGTGTTCATTGGGACTTTCTGTTGTTTTGAAAACAAAATATCTTTATAATGGATTTATACTTAAAAGGAGTCATGGCCACAAATTGTAGGAAAGACCTGACAAGGTCGGTTTAGGTTGACCTATTATGATATCAATAAATAAACTGGAATTCAAGTCTCAAACTATTTGTATAAAAGATATTATTTTGCTTGCTTGGGCTGGTATTTAGGTTGACAAAATCCATCTTTGCTTAGTTACATAAAAGAAAATATTTTGCTTGCTTGGCTGTCCAGATTTGGCCTCCATGTATTGGCAAAAATCAATATAAATCTTGTTATCATACCCCTATTTTGTGCCACAACTTACCTTTTTGTGTCTTGTTTTTGTAGAATGATCATGATAAAATCCTGGAACTATCCCTGCAGCTGTCCATTAAGAAAAAGTGGGCTGCAAATTTGGAATCGGTTTTTGAGCACATTAAAGAGCAGAGTCCTGTAAAAGAAGATCCAAGACATAGGAGATAGTGTGAGGGAGATGGAATCTAGAGAGCAGCAAAGCCATAGATAGTTTTGACATTTTTTAGGCTCTTGTTTTTTTTTTTTGGTTTAAATGGGAGTCAAGAAATGTTATGCAAAATGATGTTGTGCCTGTTAATATAGTTATAGGCTTATAGCTTCGGCTTGCTAAGTTTTATTTTTTTTACCTTAGTTCAGAAAATTATTTTCAGTATATATTGTTTTGTTTGTAATTATGGAAACAGTTTTCTGTTGTCGGAAAACTGAGAACAGAAAATTGTACAAAAATCTGAAAAAGTTATAAAAATGTCTGTTTTCAAATAACAGTTTTTTATAGTTATCTAAGAACTGTTTTCTGAGTTTTTGAGAATTGTTTTCAGAGTTACAAATCAAGCTTGTATATAACCAAGCAGATTGAAAACTGTTCTGTAGTGTTCTCGTTCTCTTAACTGCAACGGGTAAATAGATCAGTATGGAAGATCGCTTTCGGGCCACAGCATCACAATAGGCATGTTTGGAGTTGGACATCAGTACTTGTGAAATGGGACTATATTTTTGAGGATGTTGATTTTGATCAGTCTAACAACAGGCTAATTGATATTAGAGTACAATTTTTATAATGTGTTTGGTTGGTTACTAGAATCGAAATCATCTTGACTGGGGATGGGATGGTCAAATTGTCTTGGGATTTTGTAAAATGCTTGGCTGGTGCTCATTTATATTGTCAATGTAGAATAGTATTGCCTTCTATCGGACACAGACTAAAGTCATCACTGTCTTTGGTGCTCAATTGATTCTACGTTTAGGCTCCGTGTCTTTGTTTCAAAGTAAAATATTTTTCTTGTAATTTTTTTTTTTTTTTCTTTTTCAGGTAAAATATATATATTTTTTATTTTAACTTTTTTTGTATTTGGCAAAGGCCGAGTTCGAGGTCAAGTTCATTGGACGGGACGTGTAAAATAACTTGTCGAATGTAAGTTATTATTGTTAGATTTTAATATATATATATTTTTTCGTAAATATTTTACATTCAGAGCCAAGTCTCTACTTTGATGTATTTTTTATTAGTTGCAGTGATCCTGACCTTCATGACCATTTGCTCTTGAACAGCTAATTCAGATTGAACAATGTTGGAGAATTTCATTATTATTGGAGTGATCAAAGCCTTAAATCACTCTTCCAGAATATTGATTGATACGAGTGGATCATGGAAGTGATTTTAGAACTATTTCTTATATCATATAATGAAAGAGATATAATCTTTGAACTTTATGTGTCGGGAATGTAGGCTCTAGCGACTAAACCCGATATATACTAAACCCGATAAGTACTTGTGTTCATGTTTAATTTCTTGGTGAAGAGAATGGTAGCACAAGTCGACTGAATGCACTTGCTCATCCGATGAAATGGCAGCTTATAGACACCAAATTGAGGGATTAATGTGGGCATCATATCTAGCGAGATGAAATCATTTACTGTTTTGTTTTGGTTATGTAAAATTGAAGTTAATGAACATCTTTTACTCGATTTTAATTTAACCAAGCCACGTACCTCTTCTGTTCTATTTAAGCTTGTGACATTGGATTTATGCAATTTTTATCAATTCAAGAATGCTTAGATGAATATTGCAATAGTAGAGAGAATTTTCTTTACATTAGTAGTTAAATTTTTTAAAACTAATTAAATAAAAGAGTGATGTGTAATTTTTTTTTTTTTTTTCTTAGTTCAGAAAGTTATTTTGAGTAGAAGCAACCAAACAGATTTATTATGAGTTTTTATTCTCTCAAATCAATTTTGTAGTTTTTTCAAAGTATCAACACCAGGGTATGGAGATGTTGTTAGTCTTGGAAGGGACACATTAGATATAAAACCAATCTTCGTGTAGTTGGAACAAAGTAGTTAGTCTCATATGTCAATTGCATTTTTGTGCTTGATTCTTTAAATATTGTCTCAAACAATAATCCAATAAAATTCAACAGTGAATATGAGACTTGAACCCTAGGTAGAAATTTTAATTTTCTGCAAGTGGAATTTGTGTATAAGAGTGTGGGGATGAGTTGAAGATATTAAATTTTTTCAACAAATAAAGTTTGCTTTGCAATTCTTCTTTGTCTTGCATTGTTCTCTCGGTGAGGCGACATTGATCACCTTCTATTTGAAAGGCGAGGACATATCACTGGACTACATTCTTTAACCATGAATAATTTAATTTAGAATAAACACGATATCAAGTTCAAGATTTATACTGAAAATTTTATATAATGTTCAATTTTGACCAATCAAATTGTAAAATCTTAATCCACCACCGTGAGATAACGGATTGGAAAAATCTTAATCCGCCACCGTGAGATAACGGATTGGATTCGTAAAATGGCGGACCAGATCGAATTTGCGGATTGAGGTTTTTTTTTTCTAAATTTTCTAAGGTTATTTATTTTTTAACCATAGCTTCCTAGATACAATTTTAATTTATCAATATTAATTTATATATTTAAATGATCATTAATTAATACATTCTTAGACCATTAAATGATTATTAATTAATTAAATTAACTAATATATTTTTGAATATATATATATATAAATCTCGTGGCTGGGATTTTGACGGTCTAATCCGTAATTTGATTCGTGAATTACGAATTTAATTTTTTTGAATTTATCACCAATTTATGAGTGTGGCAATTCAATCCGATGCATAAGGAATGAATAGGATCCGCATATTATTTATCCATCCTAAACATATTTATCCATCCCAGTTATATGTCCAAGACCAAACAGTGCCTCATGAGTCATGACTCATGTTGGGCCACATGGGCCGGCCATCTTCAACAGCTAGCTCTTTATGGTATCACATTTACACGTGTCAACAAATCACCGTCCAAAATACAAACACTGAGAAGGGCAATTCAGACAATTTACAAGAGACTAGAATTTTCTAAACAAAATATCAGCTCTACCGTAAAATTGTTCCAGAACATACCAGATCGTCCCATAAACTCCATAGATATCACTCCTCGTAGATATTTCTACAGAGATTCTTAGTATTACCTTCGAGTTCCGTGGACCCCACAAACCAACCGCCTTCTTCCATCTCTGTCTATATATATACACACACACACACATTAACCTTTGATTGTCATTTCGTTCTGATTTGAAATTCTCAGCCAGAGCCTCAACATCACCATACAGAGACTCAGAGAGAGATTGATAATTTTCCGAATTTGAATTCTGGGTTTTGGAATTTCAATTTTCTGGGGTGATGGGTATGGAGTCCGATGAGAGATCGCCGTCTTATTACACCATTCTCGGCGTCCCTACGCACTCGCCTGATGATGAAATTCGCCATGCCTACCGTAAGCTTGCTATGGTATATTCTCTCTCCTCTCTGTCTGTACATTATTGTGTACAATTTTGTGTTGGTATTATTGGGTGGTTAATGAGGAGAAGAGAGGTACAAGAGCTCTGTTTTTTGAAACAACTCCCCCATTAGTTTTGATTATATATATACGTGTGTGTTTAATTTGAAGAGTGTGTGTGTGTGTGTGTATATATATATATATATGTAATGTGTTTTTAATCATATGATGCAGCAATGGCATCCCGACAAGTGGACGAGAGCCCCTTCTCTGTTGGGTGAGGCCAAGCGTAAGTTTCAACAAATTCAAGAAGCTTATTCAGGTACATACACAATTCTCCATCTTTATCTAATTTAGTTTTTAATTTGTGGAATTTTCTTGGATTTTAAAACAGATGATTAACTGTTTATTGAAACAGTGTTGTCGGATCGGAGGAAGAGAACAATCTACGATGCAGGCTTGTATGATCCTCATGAAGAAGAGGACGAGGTGTGTATATATTTATTTACATATGTGTGTATATATATATATGGTGGTAAAAATGTATATTCTACTTCTAATTTGTAGCTAACATCTTATCACTGTATATCATCAGGACTTCTCTGATTTTCTGAAAGAAATGGTGTCTCTTATGGACCAAGTCAGGAAAGAGGTACAAGTTTTAATTTTTTATATATTTATTTTAATTTCAGAATAATTATTTTCATTCGTGCGTTAATCCAAATATTTAGTACCTCGTTGATGCTAATAAATGAAAGATTGTATCAGTGCCTTGAAATTAGAGTTAATTTCCTCCAATTCTAAACTCAATGCGAAACTAATATATTATGTGGGTTGGTGTAGCAGAACAAGTGCTATAGCATGGAGGAGCTACAGAGTATGTTCATGGAGATGTCACAAGGTTTTGAGTTCCCCAAGTGGTCTGATTCTCAGTGGCCAACCTATGAGACCACACAGTTGTTCTGTGGTCCTTCAGTAGGAGATGGGTATGGTAGAACATCGAAGAGAGCTCGGTCCGAGGCAAGTCCAGTGGGTGATAGAGGCTCGCACTTACATCATGTACCAGGCTTGGGGATGTATGGGAACAGCCAGATGAGAACAGTGACATAGCTCAGGCTTTGATAGAAAGGATGAAAACAATTTTTTTTTTTTTCTTCATATGTTTGAACTCCATGGCACCATGTTTCTTTTTGGCGCCAAAAAGATGAGATTTTATCAATCAATCAATCCTTTTTGTGAATAAAAGTTGAGTTGGTGAAATTCTCTGAATGTTAATGGCATTGGTGAAGTATTTTGTCATGCAATTTCAGTGTGTGTCATGCTTTATACAATTCTTTCTCAAACTACATACAGTTCAACTTCCTTTTCAGTAGCAAATACGTACTATACTGTTACAAAAAAGTTGACTCGGGTGAGTAAGAACTTGGCCGCATCGGGTTTAAGGTTCGCCTCATTTTGAATAAAAAAGGGGGAGCATCAACTAGGAAAAAACACTATTACTTGTTAATTCGATATCCATCTCATCTAGTGTGATTTATGGAATATATGACCGTGGTGGAATGTTGGAGTATTTCTATTGTATAGGCCGAATCGGACATCCAATTGCTTTGATTTGAATCATCCAGAGGATGCCTAATATATGTAAAAAAGATACCCTATAACTCACTGAATCTAATAGAAGCCCAAGGTACTGTTATGGGCTAGGGTACTCAGGTGGTGTGTTCGCTGCGATGTTGAATCAAGAATGAGAGGTCACAGAGCATGTTGTGCAGAATGCAGAATAAAATAACTAAAGGCATAAGCTAAACTTAATGTTGATTAACTTGATTTGTCAATGCATATAATAGTGATTCAATTGACTTCACATCTAAGCTATGTGTACTAAACACCCATGATCAGGAGGCGACTCCAAGGGCCAGATTACCTATTCCTGAACCAGTCTTAGTGTGAATGCTTCTCATACCTTTCCTCACTATCTCAGTGCTTCTTCTCCCAGCTTCCAGTTTCTGCTTTCCCTCGGATTTCCGAGCTTTCATTGCCTTGCTATCATCTGCTACTTGATGTTTCCGTAAATTGAAGTCATTCTCCTGCTTGTTGGTTGATGCAACCCCTGAGATTTTACTGGTTGCAGAATGGCCGTTGGTCACTCCTGACAAACGAGGTGGATCCGCGGCTGTGTTTGTGGATCCATTGCTAGAAATGGCTCGGTCATTTCCTGCCTTTGGATGAGTTGATCTTGCGGTATCTCTCTCCCCTAGACTTGACGACTTTGGTTGTACTTTCATCGATTTAGTGGTACTTGATACAGCCTGGAACAAAAAAAAAAAAGATTAAGCTAACAGACACCGGGGATTGGTCTGGTTTTATATGTTACTGATTCTAAAATAAAGACATGGAAATGAAAGATTAATTGAGTAAATGGAGAAGAATAAAAAAAAAATGTACTACTTTTTGTGAGGGGAACAAAACCAAAGATTTTTGACAAACGTTATTTTAAGGCGATAGTGCAAGGGAGGTAGAAGAGCACATAGTCCTCTGCAAATTCTGCAGTAGATATTATAGTAGAACAAAATTCATGCTTAATACAGTATTATAACACTAACTTTGAAATTTACATCAAGATCCTAACATCTAAAATTGATACACGGCTTGTAATGTGTGTGTGTACGTGCGCGTGAGAGAGAGGGGGAGAGAGAGCTGTACAAACTTGAAAGCTGTGTATCTGGTATATGGATGCTTTACTCTCAAAACGCAAACTCTACAAAGATCAAAGCTTGACCATCTATTATCCCAAGGTATGCAGAGAACTGGATGGCTTAAAAATATAAGTACTCAAAAAATTTGAAGTTTCTCTATAAGCTAAGTTTGTTCCAAGGGAAGAATTTCTGCAGGGTGAGATATAAATTTTTCAAGTGTCGCAATAAAATTCCTTCTGAAGATTATTCAGAATACGTTGCAAGTTTTCCACATGTTTTATGGTAATACCGTCAAGCTAAATGGTGGTTTACGAAAACAAGAGTGAGCACATTTCTCCTACATCTATTTTGCGCTAAAACAAGTGAAGCCATACATATATACATTTCTCAATTTTATCATCTATGAGAAAAAAGGGGAACAGAAAGACTTTATCATATACCTTGCTATTTGGCCCGCTTTTAATATCTTCAGGCTTGGGAGTCGATTTGAAGCTGAGGCTTCTCCGGAATTGTTTAGTCTCAACTACTGTATTTTCCTGCAGATATAGTAATTGACCCCACATTAACATCTCCAAAATTTTCTTAGTACAAATGAATAGTGATATAAATTCAAACACATTTAAGAGAGAAGGTTAACTAGTTTTGTTGCATCTCCTTGCAATCGTACTAGCTATACTTAAATACGTTTCAAAGCAATCTGAGAACATGTAATATTGGAATGACATCTTAATTGTTAAACACTTTTCAACATTAAAGCAGAGTTCACCTGCTTCCTTGCCTCTTTTCTCCTTTCTGCTCGTTCATCGCTTCTGAAATTGAAAACTGCAGCGCTCTTCTTCAAGCCTGGTGTACTTGAACTCAGATTCTGTTTGGGCCTATGTAATAGAAACTCAATATCAGAACTCAAAAGGTCAACATATCTATAAATGAAGCATTGATTAGATTGTTGCCTATAAACCTGTTTTCTGTTTGATGTGCTCCAGGAAAAACCTTCTCCGATGCAGAATGATGTGGTTGCGTTGCTTTTTTTGCCTTTGGATCCTTTTCCCTGTTACAAAGTCGGGACAAGTGTCTTTCAGGTTCTTACTAATGGAAGAAGGTATAGATTTTCCATTTGATGCAACCAGATAGAAATAAATACCTTTTGTTCTGATTATTTACTTCTCCCTTTGAACTTTTATGATCCTGTGCAAAAATAAAAAGAACAACCAATACTCATGAAGAAAATTTCAAGTGCAGATATCAATATGCAGTAAGAGAAATTAATGCATAACTGACATATTAAGAACATTTGAATGATTTATGTATATCTAACTGTGTGCGCGTGAGTGTTTGTCATAATTAACACTTGCCTCTGGCTTGGAAATTCTGTGGACTAAACGTGTGGTCGGAGCACCAGTATGTGATGATTGCTTTTCTGTATTTGTTCTTGGTGAGCCTTCGCCTTTTCTTCTACTAGATTTCACTGCAAAATTTTCATATGCTTCAACTGAAACATTTCTCCGAACCTGAGTAACATTGACTTGAGGCTTCAATATTCGTTTTGTAAGTTTGGTTTCTGCAGACCTTGCCTAGATGTCAGAATATCAAGCAGGTAAGCCGCAAGGAATATAACAATGGGGCAAACTCTAGCCGCGAAAGCAGAAGAAAGCTATGCACGACTTGTGTACAATGCAAATAACTAAGGGTGCGTTTGGATACATAGGAGTAACTAAAAGTCATAACAAAACATCCCTAGATATCTCCATCTCATTATCATTCTGATACATGACTAAATAGCTGCCTGTTTTGGATAAATAAGCATTATGAATAGAAAATGTAGTACTTATACTAGAAAACACACCTTGGCAGATGGATGTTGTTGATTTTCAGGAGTGGTACTGTCAACTTTCTCATCTCTGTGACTATTAGGGGACGGATTAATAGGTTTCGGTTTAGATATCACATCCACATTTACAGCTTCGTCATTAAGGTTCTCTTTAACTTCTTTTGCTGGTTCAGCACTAACTAAAAGTAAATTTCCAGTTTCAGTTTGAAGTGTTGTTTCCTCAGCCTTGACATGCTCAACACCGTCCACGACATTGGTGAGAGCAGGTTCAACCTGAGGTTCTGAACTTGAAATCCCCAAATCTTTACTTCCAAATTCCATCACCACATACTCTTCATCATATTCTGAACCATCCGGGCTCTTTTTGAAGTGTGGAAAAAAATGGCAACCCTCGTTAACACGTCCAAATTCTTCTTTATAACCTGCATGCTCTGAGAAGCCATTTTCACTAGATTGGTATTCTGTTGCATTTCCGCCTTCAGATGAACTCCGGCTTTGAAGGGCCTTCTTTTTGAAATGAGCTTCAAAGTAAGCCTTCTTCTCAGTAACTGAACCTGGTTTCGAATATTTCTCAACTTCTTCAAGATACCTATTGTGCGAGAAGGATGACCTCCTCTCCCAAGATAAGGATTCAGGTTCAAACCTTCCAAAGGAGATGGAGCCAGAGTGTACAGAATCGGACTGCCATGTTAAGAGAGTTCGATGTCAAAAATGGAATAAAAGGAAAACTCGAAAAAAGCAAAGACATTGTAGAAGAAGAGAAGATAAATTCAATTCATTTACAGATTGTACATTTGCAAAATATGTAGCAAAATTAGTAACGTCACTCATTGTGGATGTTCAAGTTTTGAGTTAATGTAAGCTATGATGGTTTAATAAAGTTCTGCAGATTTTTCAAAAAAAATTCAGAAATTAGATACAAAGTTTTCCATTATCTTCATATAACCCTATTTAATTACACAAGTTGAACCATGTCATGGATCATTCACAAATATAAAGCTTATGATGAAAAATATCCCAACTCTTAAAAAGTATTAAGCTAAACCAAACAAGTGAAGGTATTTAAGTTAAAAACACATAAATTGCAAAATTGAAACCAAACAAGTGAAGGTATTTAAGTTAAAAACACATAAATTGCAAAATTGAAACTTTGCAGAAAAAAAAAAAAAAAACTAATAGTTAAATTCTCATCAATTGCCAAAATTCAGATCATTCATGATTTTGAGATTGCAATATCATATAAAAGTAAAAAGAGTACCAAAGGTTCATCAAATTCGGCAGCCATGACCACCCAACTCAAAGCATCAATTACACATTCCCTAATTACCTGTAATTCCAAACACACACATCAAATCAGAACATTTTTTCTTAATTAACCTTCCATTACACAAATCAAAACAGAAGAGAATATATCAGTGATATAGACAATATATATATATATATAGAGAGAGAGAGAGTTACAACTTACAAGATTAAGAGATCAAGAAGAGAGAGAAAGAGGGAGAAGGGGCTTGCTTTTTGAAGACGAAACTGGAGAAGAATACTACTACTACTCTGTTTTCTGCAAGTAACAGCTGGTGTTTGTACTGTCACGTTTGATCCATATTGGTGCTGTTCCTCTTTTTTTGTCTTCTTCTGCTGACCACATTATATAGCTCTCCTCTTATTCTCAGTCATTTACCGTTGACCTGTCCGATTTTAACCATCCAACGGCTTAGAAATTTTGTGGTTGTGTGGGCCACATGGTAGCCAATTTATCCACGTGTCAATCTCCCATTTTGTCAAGTATTTTCATAAAAATTTGGTGCCAGTGTGGTAAAAGCAATCAATCAATACAAAAGGGTTGCTAATAATTAGCAAGATCTACCACCAAAGATGTTTAACGTTTTCATCTCGGATTCATCATATTTTAGGCCAATGCAGAAAAGATAAGTGGACCAGTTTTAGTGGATTAGATCTCCTCAATTTGAGATAAGAATGAATTATCGATCTACAAATTGGTACCATAAGAGCATCTTGCATCTCTCTCTCTCTCTCTCTCTATATATATATATATATATATATTTTGTGTATAAATCTAACGTGTCATAGGTAGATTTAAATAAAAAAATTATACTAATAATTTTTAATTCCGGCATTGTTTTATACTTTTTATGTAAAATTAATAACAACCAATTACGTGGCACGTCTAATATACCACAACTTTTATAATGCTACTTAATATAGGTTTCGTTAATGGATTGAGAAAGAGGAAGGAGAGAAAAAATATGCGTGTGGCTGTGTAAAAAAAATTGTGCAAAATACATAATAATTTTACACATCGGTGAAGTGGTAACATATCTTAACATATTGTTGGAAATAAATAAATAAAAAAATTACATAGTGTATATTTTACACAAAATGGTAGTTTAACACAATGGTGGAGATGTTCTAACGAATTTTTTGTTGTTATAGTTAAAAAGCTCATAGTTGGCCCTTAGATTGGGCCATTGGTCTGCCTCCTGTGTCCATCGGGCGTCTCGTCCTTTCTGTCAGCGATGCACTATTGGCCTTAATTGGTCAAATCGTGCCTCTAGCGCTATTACTTTAAAGAAATTAGAGTGTTAAAAGCAATCGTAGGCTTAGTATGGGATAACATCATATGGTTTCGGTTCTGTTACGCTGTCCTTTGAGATCAGAATAATGATTAATGCTCCTTTCCATAGGAAAGGAAAGAACTGGAAAACATTTGTCAATGATATTTTCATTAATCAAGAACCACAATAGTATTTAAATTAATTATTATTTATTTCTATTAATTTATATTTTTACCATGTCAAGAAATAACTTACTTTTTGAAAAGCTCCCTTCAACATCACCCTAATTTATATATATATATGTGTATATATATATATAGATAGATATATAGATATATAGATGTATATGCTACCATTTCTCTAGTATATTTTCTTGTCCTTCTCATGGACAATTTAAAGATAATAGATTGAAAAAAAAGGGTATGTTTTAGACTAAGATGATACCAAAATTAATGAGACCTACCCATGTGGTATTACATACTAGAGTCCAAGATCTCATTCACAAGTTGATGAATCATGAGAGAACCAAATTAAAGGAAGGCCCATAAATATACCATGAATTTAATAAACGAAACAAGAATGGGCCCACGTGTATATGTGAAAAGTGCTAGGCAAGGAGGGATCGATAATTGTGTGTCTTATTTATTTATTTTGACTTTCTTCAAATATGGGGGGGACATGCTAGAATTGTTGTAGTATTTGATAAACTTCTACTGACAATGTAGCATTGGCAGCAGCAATATGATGATCTGTTTTTGTAATGCTCACGTGGTGAATCCATGTGTTGTTTGGTTTATCTTACTGGCAGTACCCAATGTGAGGTGTGTGTGTGTGAGAGCAGGGACCGGAAGTTAGAAATTTGGTTTGGCGGGCAAGTTAATATTGATAAAATAATTTTTTTTTAAATAGGTCAAAAATATAATAGTATAATTAGAATACGTGAATAAAAAATGAAAAAAAAAAGAGAGAAGATTATTACATATAAATTATGCATGAGTGCAAGAAAAATGAATTTTTTAGACGAAAAAAGAAATTTTTAAGAAGAAAATGAAATTAAAAGAAAAAATATGAGAGAATTTTGAAGGAAAAAATAGGTTTTAATTGAAGAAAGTGAATGCAAAAGTTTTTAAAGATGCCAAAAAGAAATTTGAAAAATAGGAAGGAAAAAGAATAAGGAATTAAAGACGTTTTTAGAAATAGATAATTTTATGGGGGATAATTTATAAATTTTATTACGGTAATTTATAAATATTTACAAATTATATGCATAAAATAAAATAATATTTAATGAATTTAGAGGCAGAGAAGTCATTTTATTAATTTTAGGGGGGCATTTTATTAAATTTTACAAATTAGTGATAGAAAAAAAAAATTTCTAGTGGGCCAGCATGTGTGGTGAGGGGCTGAGCTGGCCCCTTGCAGATGCTGGCTCCGCCCCGTGTGTGTGTGTGTGTGTGAGAGAGAGAGAGAGAGAGAGAGAGAGAGAGAGTCTCCAAGGAAGGTGGTTTACCTTAAAAACAAGATGCTGTTTTAGTATATTTTAGAGCAAAGAATGTTATGTTGTTGCAAGTTGCAAGTTGCAACTGTTTGATTGGGGTCCTGAGGTCACATTCATATTCAGGCTTTTTTTTTTTTTTTTTTTTTTTTAATATGATTTGTAATATGATTTTTTTTCATTTAAAAATTGTTTTTTTATTATTTTTTTTTTCCAAAAAAAATAAAAATAAAAATAAAAAAACAATTTTAAAATGAAAAAAAATCATATTACAAAGCCTTCCATGACGGTTTTAAAATTAACAAGTCTAACATAGATATCATTAACAACTGTAGTCAATTGGTACTTTTTCACAGGGATGGACCTACATACAGATGAGAGGGATAATTCATCAACGGCTTTAGCCAAGTGGTACTTCCTCACAGGGATGGACCTACATACCGATGATGGAGGCAATTCTTGTAGTCAAATGGTACTTCATCACAGAGACGAACCTACATACAGATGATAGAGGCAATTGCCCCCATGAAATTTTATTTATTTTTATTTTTAACTAATATACCTTGCTAAATTGTTCTTTTTCAATTATATATCCCTAAAATATTACTATTGCCTCCCTTAAAATTACCTTTAAAAAAAATCATTCTTGAGTTAATGGTCTGAATCGTCCCTACTTCCTCACCTTCTAAAAGAAAAAATATAGGATTCAAGTCCCTATATAATTTAATTAGCAATGAAAGTGCCTCTGTACTAATAATAGGTAACAGTTCTTTCAAATTAGATCAGAGTCATCAGACAATGTGTGCTCCAAAATGTCAGAAAGAAAAGATGCTTGTTTTAGTATTTTAGAAAGGACATTACTACAAGCAAAAAATGTTATGTTGCAACTGTTTGAATGGGGTCCTAGGTCACATTCAAGACAGCCTCTTTTTCTTTTTCTAATTTTTTAAAAGAAGAAAATCATATTACAAATAGCTCCACCGACGATCTTAAAATTTTACATCAAGGTCTGTTGGAGTCTTAAGGAAGTTAGGCAGTCTAATAAAAAGATTACTAGGTCACAAGATGTGTTGGTAGACTTTTCAACATATAAAACAAAATAATAGAACTCTTGCGCCATCATTTGATATCACAATGGCAAAATTGCCCCTCCTAGAAATGAATTAATTTTATCTCCATTCTTTAAATTGTCCTTCCCAACTCCAAAATGTGGTCTGGTTTGAACATGATTCAATGCCAATTACAGTAACAAAAACAAAAACAATTAAGCACGGAAAGGGTTTAACTGGATGAACAGGCCCATGATACAAAAAAGACATATAAGGGCTGTTGGGCCTAATGTACTAGAAGCACTGAAATCCCCAAAATAAGGTTGGCCCACAACAATTGCTCAACCTTCCTTATTTGGATAGTGGACTGCGGTGACTTCTAAAAAAGAAGAACTCAAACAATGGCTTTCGAAGAGCAGAACTTGAGTCTGGCGCCTTAGACCACTCGGCCATCCTGACTTTTTGTGTATAATTTCTTCCTTAGAATTGGACTATCATTTTCTTATTAGCCCAATATCATTTTAGTTCTCTTAAGAAGTTTGATTGGCCCAGCTCTCCAATATGCTAGCCAAGTAAGGCCCGCTACATGATAATATTTTACATTTAAATAAACAGAGTCTAAATAAAAAAAAAACATGAATATGATCTAGTTGGTTACATATAAACTTTAGAGGTAGCTTAATTACAAAACTCTAATTGCGTCTTAGAGTTTGAAAGTTCGAATTCTTTTGGAAATACTTCCAGAAAATGTTTCAATAATTGGCACATAGAGGCCGGTGGTGAAATGCAGCATGTTCTAAGAAGTCTAGCTCCAACATTGTAGATCAAAAGAAGAAGAAAAAACATATATGTAGGTGCACAAAATCTCATAAGCTCTGGGTCTTACGCGTACAAAAGAATTGTTTCCTTAGAACTCCTATTTTTGCATTACAAACATTGTTTCCTTATCCTTGTTTGAATTGGCCAAGGAATACGTTTGGGCTGACTGGGCTTTATGGCTCTACCTGTCACTCCTCGGCACACTGGGCTGCTCTGGTTACTTGTTGTTGGGCCGTTCTTGGCCACCTATTCGTTGCTTTGTTTTGGTTCTTCTAACGCATACGCGTCCACTATTGATTGGAAGGAAAATTTTCTGACTCGTGTATATATTTAGGTCTCGTTTGACATGCGTTTTATTTTTTCTGTTTTTGTTTTTGAGTTGTTACCGTGTCGAATTTGGCAACAAAAACATGTTTGGTGTGGCTTTATTTTATTTTACACAGTACTAAAACACTTCGTGAATAGTGACCCAAAACACTAAAAAGTTGTTTTATTTTTTATTTTTATTTTTATTTTTATTTTTTACAATTATTCATTACTCAAAACTATATTTTGTATGTTTCTATTTCTGACATTTCTACGACAAAATATTATTCTTAAATATGTTTTTAATTTTTTTTCAAAACACTATTAAAATAAAAAATATTATTTATATTTTAATCAAAAATAAAATATTCTAAAA